GCGTCTTGTTTGTCGGCATCAGCTTCTTTCTCGGGTTGGCTGACATGGCTGTTGCTGAAGAGACGAGGAGGAGGCCCGACGGGTGGGGGCACAAGGTCGCCTTTTGGTTCGCCACGGCGTCGGCCGCCCTGTCGCTGTTGATTTTTGCTACCATCAAGATTGGGAAAGCCGAGAGCGAGATGACGGTGGAGGAGCGCGAGCGGAGGGAGGCAGAAGCTGGGGCCGGGGCGGCTAGGGCCGGGGCGAGGGGGGCCTGAGGGGAGCGGCAGTTGTGATGTTGGATTACCCTGCATTGAAAAAGGCGTTTTGGCAAGATTTTGGCAAGATTTTTGAGCTAAATTTATCGACTTTAGACGAGACAGCATACGGATAAAGAGGGGGCTTGAAAGTTTTGGATTTGCTAACAAACCGAACGAGTGGCCTGGAGCAGAATGAGCAGACTGCTGAGCGCAAGACAATACTAAATGATCCCCAAGGCAATAATAATACCCTCACGACCATTCCCGTCCTCCACAAATTACACGAATAATGTAGTGTGACACTATCAAGACAATGAAACTCGGCTCTACATGTCCTGTCACCATATAGACCATCGATGCTCCTAGAAACGTCAGACAAAAAAAAAACAACAAACTCCAGAAACAGGAACCACACCTTTCTCATCCCATCTCGACTCCAATACCTAGCAACCTATTACTCTCCTCCCAACTCTCAACCCTAATATTTTCCCTCTCCACCAACCCACCCATTCCCAACCCGCCTAACCCTCACCCCCCGGCCGACGGCGGCGCCCCCTCCGACATCTGACTCGCCTTGGAGGAGCTCTCGGAGCTCCCACTGCCACCACTCCCATGGCGGCGTCCGCGGGCCCGCTTGCGGTGGAACCGGATCGAGTCGTGATACCGGTGCAGGAAGTAGAAGAGGGCGGCGAGGAAGACGAGCAGGAGGATGCCGACGACGATGCCAATGGTGACGTTCTGCGTCTGCATCGAGTCGGACCGCTTGCGGAGGGGGACCAGCCGGAGGGTGGGCGGTGGTGGCATGTTAGGGTTTTGGTTTCGGTTTTGGTTTTGTGGGTGCAGGAGGCGGACCAGGTGCGCGAGGAAGGGGTGGGGGGTGTCCGGGGTCGCGGTGAGGCGGTCCGGTGCTGCCGCGGCCGGGCACGGCGGTGGTGAGGAGGACGGTGGGAGGTACATTGGCGCTTGCCGGGGGAGGGGGGGATCAGGGGGCGAAGGCGGAGAGGTCGCCGGCGGCTGTCACTGGGGAGGGGACGGGGAGAGATACAGAACTGGTTTTGATTACAATATAATAGGCGGTTAATCCACACGGACGTTGAGGAAGTGAAGGAAGAAGAGGGAAAAAAAAGGGTTTCAGGGCGGGTGCTTACCACTTGGCGCTAGCAGGCGGAGGGGAGGTGACTTTAAGGAGCACGGGGGCAAGCAAGATGGAGAAACGTTTTACAATTCTGGGGTTGAGTCTGGAGACGCACAAACGCCATGTAAGAAGAAAAGGCGGGGGGTGGTGCGGATGGAGTTGGCGGCGGTATAACATCTCTCTGCTCGCGCGTGCCGACGTAAATTATCTGATTCCTTCCTAGGCGGGCTGGTGCGCGCATGCGAGGGTACATGGGCCGCGGTAGCTGCCATGGGGGCCCCGGTGTGGGAGCCCGGAATCCCCAAGCCCTACCACGGGGGTTAAGAGGCGATAGGGGGAGGGGGATAGGGGGAGAATGCATCGAAGAGTGGTGGAAAGATGCACCACCCACCTCACATCCGGACTGCTGCAGACCCGCCGCCGCAGACACGGCCGCCGTCTGCTCGGTCCGGCCAGCGTATCACGACAGGGTCGCGCCTCGACTCGCCCTGCCGGAGCCAATGGCGGCCGAGGGGCATTGTGGGGGACTGGTGCTCCATGTTTGGTCTTTGTGGGGACCATTGACCACCAGCAGCGAGATTTGCGCTATCAGCTGATGGGAGAGAAAAAGATCCATAGATCGACCTTTCTCGGCGCCCGACTCGATTCATTGCGTGCACCTTAGTAGCACTTACCCACCGGCCCCTGAGGTCAGCCCCGGGGAGAGGATATTTTACCCGCCGTCGGCTGATGTCCAAATCGCAACAAATTGTGTGGGCCTGGTGCGGTGAGGTCGCTGCAGGAAAGAGCACGGAATTAGCTCGCTATCGGCGACCGTTGACTTATTGGCCGGCTGCTCTTTGTCTGGGGCTGTCGTGCTGCCGGTTTGCGGGGCCCCCCGATGACTCTGCTTTCTGTTCCTACCTCAGGCTTACCGCTGCCTGAGGTTGGGCGCACTGCATGCACGGAATGGAGCGGCAGCGCGGTGCGGGAGGTGAGGTGGCCTTGCTATTGGGCATGAATCCTACCGCAGTGCGTCCAAATCCGGACGTGGTGCAAGACAAGTCTTGGACTTGTTCTTTTTGTCCTGTCAAGTTCGTCTGTCTGGGACTGATATGACCAATATGACCGACAATTGCCCCTTCCAAAACCAAATCTGTTGCCCCTATTCACTTGCTATCAATGCTGGCACACAATTCTCTTGCTCGTTATCACACAAACCTCAAGCCTCAGCGGCACATTTTTTTAACTGCCTCATTGGCGACATAGCGGGGTTGCAAACCTTGTGCATCATGCAGCTGCATTGCATCCTGGCCCTGAACTGACAACTCATCGTCAATTCCGTGCTCGCTCGCCCCGCAATAGAGTGAGGCGCAAGTCTGGCAGTTTCTGTCACTTTCTGGCCACTGCCGATATATTGTCTTGTCCTTTCCTATTGTGATAGGCAGATAGCGCAGTATGCGAGGCTTACAGTCTTTGACGTGATGTCCAACAGCTCATTGGCTCCCCCAAATCGGTCCAGGCTCAGGCTGCGAGCTTCGGGGATGCCAACTCATACATGATCCATGCCCCTGGGTCCCGTTCCCAGCGCAGGCAAAAGCAACGCACCCTTAATTGTATATGCTGGTTCTCGTGGCTAACCGTCTGTGCTAAGGCATGATTGCATGGCCCGGACAAGAACACAGAATCAAAGCCAATGGCGAGCGATACCGTTGCACTTTGTTTTATCTGGTACCCCGATGCCGGACGACGCAATATGACGTCTGTAATAGTTAAAGTGAGCCAAGGTACTACGAGATGACCGATGCGTATAATACCCCAGGTAATCCAGGCACTGCAAGGTACCTCGGTGGTGAATGGGTTGAGAAATTCTCTAGCTCTGCTCTCACAGCCCAACACTGCCACCTATGTCTCCCATACGACCTCACGTTGCTCCTAGGGGACCTAGAGGTACTACGGACCCCTTGATTCCCAATAACGCCACTGCCAACACATTCCATTGGATATCCGAAGATCTGCATTCAAGTGGAGCTCTGATTGGACCAAATCGTCAACGAGGGACGACCTATCTCCATGTCCTCGACCGTTAGGCGCTAAAGTTGAGACCCAAAAACATGAGTGAAGCAAGACTGTAGCAGGAATGCTTTGAGCGTCATGCATCATGTATAATTCAGCCATTTAGTCCAATGATATACCGTCGTATCAATGCATCCATCATCTCCCTATTCGAATCCCTTCGGGCAACAAGTATCAAGCCTGAAGTTTCTTGAGCCGCTGTTATCCTCAGATACCTACGAGTAGCCTAATACGACTTGGCCATCTCATCTTCACGTTGTCCTTCATGATCTGTTTGGGCGTCTTTTAGGTCAATGCTAATGCCCTGTTGCCATGTTGGTGTATCGACAAGTCCTGATGCACCATGCCAGCGAAGATAACCACTGCTAGATACCTAGACATGAGAATGGGAGGACACCGACGTTCTTGGGGGGTGAGCGTCTGCTCATTCCTGCTCTCTTGAATTTGGAATAATGGTCCCAGACACAGCAAGGTAAATGCCCAGCCCTCCTGGCGCATTGAACCGTCCAAGCCGTAATGGGTTCGATTCGCCTGTTAACGTCTACCGCAGAAACCATTCCACCAGCGGATGCTGCAGCTCTCTCGAATGTTTTAGATTTCCCGCCCGCGTTATCACTGCAGCAGTAGGTAGTTGCATGTTCTATCCAGAGCAATGCCACTTGTCAGTCGTGTATTTAGACTGTCCGCGGCCTATAGAGATGTGCTTTGAACCGACCGTAGAGGATCGTGCTGCTACTCCGTGCAAAGCGAGACGGTAGTGAACAAGCAGGAGCCTCTTGAAAAGCCAGCTGTGCCACGCCAAGACGTTACGCTATGCCGACCCAAGGTGAAAGCCGATAGCTTTGCGATTCATGCTCCATTCAGCTCACGATGGCTGGGAACGTTGGTTCAACCCTAGCCAATCATGGTCCTGCCCGTGCCTTTGCCGAGACCTCGAGGAACACCACCACAAGGACACCACCAGGATTTGGAGTGAGTCCCGCCGCCGTCGTTGTCCCTCGGACAATTTCCACCTTTTCCTTGTCTCGACCTCCCCCTGGAGTCATCCAGACCCCCAAAGCACCAATGGCTCTCACCATCAGCGTTGCTGTCGGGTGCCTCGCCGCCACCTACCTCTTTCTCCGCTTCCTCCTCTACGCGGCCCAAGATGTCAAAGAACCATCGGCCATCCTCACTAGGATCCCCTTTCTCAGCCGCTGCGTAGCATGCTCCGCGAAAAGGCAGGCTTCTACCTCCGCCTTCGACACACCTACCGACCACCAGTTTACACGCTACGCCTACCGTTCCAGCGTGAATATACGTCGAGAACGCCACCGAGATCATCCCGGGGCTGCAAAAGCAATGGTGGAGCATCAGCTTCGCCGCGCTCGCCGCTGCAGACGGGATTTCCGGTCATTGATCGGGATATCGAGGTGGAGATGAGACCGAGGGAGCCCCCGGGAGGCGGTGGAGGGTGGTGTATGCGGGCATGAGAGGGGATTAGGGTATTGTCGATGAGGATGTTGCGGCAGAGAAGGAGGCGATGCCAGGCAAAAAGGGGGTCAGACGGATGTCTGATAGGGGGACATCAAAGCCCACTCCCAGAGTCGAACTAAGGACGTCATCATTGAGTATTCGATATACTAGTGATGCGCTCTACCACTGAGCTAAGCGGGTTGCTTGTAGCTTGTGGATTCTGGCGCCACTATTGTGTGTCATGTACCCTGTGTTGAGATTTTGTCGGTGGAGCTGACCACACAACGAAGGAGAAGCTGGGCAAAAGAAACCGTGGAAGGCAATCAAATTTACATCAAATTTACAATTCAGAAGACTGCTAATTTCAGTCACCTTACTGGCGGTATCATGGTGACAAGAGCAAGAGTCGGGAGACGTAACAGCAGAATACAATTCATTCTTAGAGAATTCCCACAACCCCCCCCCCCCCTCCCCCCAAAACATGCCAAAAAAACGCGCACAAACGTCCAGACCTGGTCGATTGGACGTGCATGCCATCAGCCATCAGCCGCTTTGTTTTGTGCGGAAGCGTTGCCAGGGGTGAACAGGGCTGTCGAGCCAGGTACGCAGCTTGTTGAGCGCGGCGAGGTCTCGAGACTTGGTAGACATGTAGGGGCCAGTGAAGGCTGGGCCGGCGGCTTCCATCTCCTGTCAGGGGGATCTTCTCCCCAAGTGGAGAGCCTAATGCGACCGGAGAAGGCTCGTCAGCGTCGTGATGTCTCTCGTCCTGGTCTGGACTCTTGGGGGGGGGGAGGGGGGACGTACATGCGGCATTGAGATATCTCCTCTCCTACCAGCTCGGACGAGCCGAGGTCGACTAGAGTCGGGATCCCCGCTGGGCTTACCATGATGTTGAAGGGCTGGATGTCATTGTGGGCTATGCCGACGATATTGTGAAGATGGAGGATGGCGGATTCCAGCGCGGCCAGAAAGGCCTCTTTTTCGACTGTCTTACCCGACTGCATATGCTCCCATAGGTTGCCGCCCTCCACCTTGTCGAGATAAACACCTGTGACGCGGCCCTTGCGGACACGGCAGCCGTGGTACTTGACAATGTTGGGATGTTGGGGGTAGCTGGAGAGAAGCTCCAGCATCTTGACTTCAATGGCAAACCACTCTGCAACGACCGTCGGGGCGTCATGAGGACAGTTGATGATGCGAGTAAGCCACGGTCTCTTCAGGAACCACTCCTCCGCATCGTCCAACCACTCATTAGCTACCGTAACATGGGTATTGGCGAAAAACCACGGGACTGGAAGTGGGAAGAAAATGCGCTCGTTGGACACCTGCTCCAGTGCTTCGTTGATTTGCTCGACCGTATGTTCCGATGGAGAGCCGTCAATGGTTCCAACAAATAGCTGATCGTCTTCGTCCACTGGCCCCTCACCCCAATAATAGTAAAGACCGGATTTGGCCCCAGTCTTGACATTCCGGCGCTCGCTGACACGAACCTCGTCTTTCTCGAAGGTCCTCACGAGATCCGACATGGCGTTTAGGCGGGGGCAGGTGGTGCTCAACTTGTTGAGAGAAGATGACTAGATAAGCCAGAGAAGATGGGGCAAAAGTGGAAAAGCCGGAAGAACAAGCTGAACAATCGGGCATTAAGGCGGATGGATCAGGGACAGAGGGCTAAGCTTTGGTGGCAAAAGCAGAATGACTATGTTACAATTCTCTCATATTGGTCGGGAGGCGGGCGTTGTGGCAGACAAAGAGATATGCTGAAGCAGCTGCGCCTGGCTTGAGCCGCTTGCCCCGGTGAAAGTCCACAGCTCAGATCCGGACTGCTGCTTTGGCGGTGTTTCGAAAAACGAGATAAAGAAAAGAGGGGGGACAAAGGAGGCGGGCAACACCGAAAATCCGCCGCGCTGCCAGGGTCTACACCACTGGTGAAACAAAATACAATCTACGAAAATAAAAGTGAAACCCTTTGATCAAGGCGGTGTAGGCGGTGAGGAGATTTATCACATTGTAATAGAAGTGACTGCCGACAACACCCCGATGTCTACAAGCACCCGGATCTGGATTGTTTCAGGACCTATCCCTCCTTTACCGGCATCCCAACGACTGGCTGGTCACCCAAGGGCGGACTCACCAATATGGTAAGGCGTCCTGGTCGCAGGCCCTGGAGCGCCCAAGAAAGATAAGCTGTTCCCAGCAGAAAGAAAGAAAAAATAAATGCGACCGTTCAGCGAGCTACCCCGACCGATGGCTTGTCCGGCCCGAGCATTCATTTAGTCTCCCATCATCTCGGGAAGTCCGATACTGCTCGGCCGTTCTGGCCTATGGTGGTAGTTTCCGCACGAGAGATCCTCCTAAACAGAACAGAGGACAAACCTTCCAAGCAGTGTGGCCCTTTCGGGAAAATAAATACACCCCATCCGACACGAAGACGGTTTCCAGATTAGCCCTTCATCAAACAACTCGACCAAACCACCCCGCCAAACCACCTGACACCGTATCACCATCACCCGACATCCCTGCTGCAAACGACAACACAACATCCCCCTCTAACAAGCCATCAACAATACCCGCTGGAAGTAACCATGTAAGAAGCCCTGCCTTGGTCCGCTGACACATGGCACATGGTGTCTTGAACGCTGTGGATAACTGCACGACGGATGATAACCAGCTGGCTGCTACCCACACAGGTGCAAAACGAAAACAGATGAGAGCACGTTGGAAGACGGCAACACGACATACGTTGTGCGGGCAGTTGCCAAAGTGGATTGCGACAAGAGTTGTTGCCCAACATCTCGGATGAACAAGGGGGGTCGTTCCGGGCCCCAGTCGTCATCCAAGGACCAGATGGGCGGGAAGTGATGCGCCCCGAGCCCCGCTACTGTCCTCGCATCCTGTTCCGTCTTTTGGTGAATCGGTAGGACTTGGCGACGGGGAGAAGTGGGAGAAGGAACATCCGGGCTCGACGGGCTGGGGTGTAGGGCAGGCGCCATGTTAGAAAGGCAGACGTATTTAGCTTTCAGACAAGAAAATCAATTGGGCCCTACCTATTATCAGGGCAATTTGAGCCTTTCGCGAATCTTCCACACGGGTGGCCTACTTTGTTCCTGTCCTAGTGATCCGCTTTGAAATCCTCAAGACAAGCCTGGGGTCAAACGACCTGGATCAGTGGTTGGATCAGAGAGGTTAATTCACAGTTCCTTGCAATGTCGCCAATAACGACGTGACAGGGAGCATGCGGCTTCTGTACATCTATCAGACTTCTACAGCACTTGCAATAGGATCCATGCCACCTATGACTCTAGATATAGGCTTGCAGGCTAGCGTTATCCAACACCATAGTGAGCCCCTTGTAACGATGACGGACCACGACAGACTATTGACTGGAAGCCGGCACATGGTCAACCTCGACTCCAAGGCCGATGGCTTGCATACTGCCCGACGTCCTGGAGGCATGGAGCCCGCCTCACAGTCGACTGATACGGTCATTCCACTTCATTACCCCGCATCACCGAGCATCTTAGTCTTTGGTTATCGCCGAGTCTTTGCGCTTTGCATGCTAGGCCCTGAAGCACCAAAAATCGCGAGACAACAGCCATAGCTATTGGTTGCTAGCAGCACGGGAATGGAAACTCACTGCCCACCGCAGCGGTTGGCATTCGGCAGCGCCTGGAAGTGCATAGACTATGCAGCATTTCCCATTCAAGCCCGGCAGGGAAAATGGGGCGCTGCCAGATGAACATGCGCCAGGACGATTACGTGCTGTCACTTTCCCTCCGTAAAACCTATTCCTGCCGGCCAAGAGCTTCACTGGGATTAAGGCTAGATTCCCATGCATAATACCCATTTCAACATACTTACTAGAAAATGGGGTGGAACCGGCAATGGTTTATTTTCTTCATAATTGTCGCCCTCGAGTCTGTTCCAGCTACCGCCTAAACCACCCTAGACAACTCAACCAGCCCCGACGACGGACAATGCTCACCTGGATTCGAAGGCAACTCGGACCTGTACGGCCTTGGGGGTCCGCACCGCCTTCTACCTCCAAACCGTCATCACAGTGATCGGGACATTCGACGGCGCCGAGCTGTCCCGGGTGCTCACCGTCAGCAGCACCGACCACATAATCGGCGAATTCAAGGTCTTTTCCATTGTATTTATGACCGCCTTCTACCTCTTGCACATTGCGCTCGATTGCTACGGCATCTGGTTTTGGTACATCGGCGTCAAGGTGCTAGCTGCCCCCGGCACCATGCAGTTCGTTTGGCTTTTTTTTCTTCACCAAGACAACACTGACCGGGTGGATGCGCGTCTTGCACATCATTGTCTACAATTATCGGATCATCTCCGACGGGCTTGAGTTTCTATTCATACTTTCTGTCATACTGGCACTGCTCCTCTTCCTTCTTATTGACCCCAAATCCATTCCGGAAATAGTCAGGAAGCCGGAGAAGGGACGGCTGGGGTGGATCGCGTGGGTGGCCGATTCCAACCCCTGGAGATGCCCCGGGTTCATAGCGTTGCTGAAGTGTCCCTTCAAGATTATGAGCAAGATGCTAGATCGATGTAAGTGTGTGCAACGCCGGTGATTCGATTCGATGGTTGACGGTTTATCCCAGGGACGAAAAAGCAGGCCCAGAAGAAAAAGCAAAACGATGGCGAAACAATAGAGGATCAACATGAACCCGAGGCAGAGACACAAGTTCTGAGGTAGGGTGGCTCCATTACGAAACGGAACAGCGACGTTGATTTGGAGAAGGGGGGAAACGTTGTAAGCCACTCCCAACCATGAAGCCCAATGTCTGCTCACACTGCCAGGCCACTATCGTCACAGAGCAGCCACCCTCCCAACTCATGGTCGCACCCGTTCCCGGATCGCCGACTGCATCCGTCCGCCCAAGCACTGGGGACACCAACGGCAGCGAATACCACGAGCCCAGCGGGGACAATGAGGATGGCGGGTCCGAGAATGTAAAAAAGTCGAAGTGGACCCTTCTCGGGACCTGCATCGTCTGCGCATTGGGCGGCGCCTGCTACCTCACCGTGGGGGCTGTGTGTGGTGGCTGTCTCATCTGGTGTGCCCTGTCCTCTCTGGGTTACCTGGAAGAGATTGGGCAGAAGTGCCTGCCTATGTTCATCATCCTGGCGACCGAGTTTACGCTCCGGTGGAACGATGTCACCGAGGTGAACTCGGTCACCACTGC